AAACATAAGAGTCCGCGCCCCCCCCGCCCCCCCCCGTCGGTGCTCCGCCTTACAGGGAACACGTACTTCACATTGCGGTTGGGACAGCAACGATGACTGATTGCAATCAACCATCCCCGCCTCCCCCTTCTCTCGACAAAAATCTCCACGAAAAACAACCAGGTGTTGATGTACCTGGACAGGAGCATCGGTAGGCTTGTGGACTATCTCGAAACCGAAGGCTGGCTGGAGAACTCCATCATCGTCGTGGCGAGTGACAACGGCGGGTGCCCGTCGACCGGTGGCAGCAACTACCCGCTGAGGGGGCTCAAGCACTCCAACTGGGAGGGCGGGGTTAAGGTAAAACTGCGCAACAAGAACGCTTGGGAGAAGGTGTTTCTGGGGAATAAGGGCATTGTTTGTCTTGAGCATATACTGTCGAGCGTGGCCAACTTGAGCTGTAGACCAACTCAACCGATTTTGTTTGGACGGGGAGCGGTCTGTAGTGCATAGACGGCGTTGTGTCGGATGGGCACGCGCCTGAGTCTACTCTTCTCTTGGGAATCTGTGCATGCCTAGCTCACACGCACACACATGTTATCGTATGTGCGGAGTTGGATGTTTACCCCAGGTCGAATCTGCAACATACATGCCGACCCCGTTGATAGGAGCTTGTGTAGAGGGACAGAGGGAATTTGCGTACATGGGCTCTCAAAACCACTCTCCGGTTGGGCTCAATGGATAGTACATGCCTTTAGCAACATTCAGTCTAGGCGCCGTAGCGCATACTTTGGATGTTGGGACGGGGGGGGGGGCTTCTATTTGTTGGTGCTTGCTGTTATTGCTGTTATACGAACAACGTAGTTTTTGTGTTTTTCACCTACGCACCCATCTACTCGTGCAGGTTCCTGCATTTGTGTACTCTCCTAGCCACATCCCAGATGAAAACTGGGGCACGGAGTACCGCGGACTCATGCACGTCACCGACTGGCTGCCTACCTTAGCGGACGCGGCGAACTTCGAGCTTCTCGGAAGGTTGGGAACGCGAAAAAAAGAGGGCAGTGGGTGGTCATCATCCTCTCAATAGGCTTTGCCCTTAAGTTTGAGATTTTCAGGACGCCAAAAGTAGGCAAAACGTGCACTCCTCTGTCTCGTAGACGAGCAAGTTTCAGCGACGCTAGCAATCGGATACAACAAGACGATGAAAATCAAAAGGAGCCAAAATCAGTCCCAATATACCAACATAACAAACGGGAAGGGGTGCCGTACAACATCATGCGTATACGTAGTAAATATGGTATCAACCAAACAGCGTGTTGTAGGCGGTGTTCGCAACTGTGGGGCAGGGTTGAAGTAAGCAACGGCATCGCTGCAATGGTATGGTACACCCGGTGATACTATCATCTTTTGGTCTACATTGGCGATTACGAGGTCACTTCCTTGTTTTATTCGCTCGTCCATCCCCTTCCTGTACTATTCTAGAAGTGTTGTCTCGATACAGCAATGGTTGCCTTTCTCCTTCTCCTCCTCTCTCTCTCCCCTTCGGTGCCTGTGTTTGGGATGATGATGGGGGCGTACGCAGGCAAAAGTAGGTCTAATCTGATTTCCCTCCTTCGGCGTTCAAAAATTGGGAAAGGAGTACTCCTCGGCAACCATTGTGGCAAGAGCTTCGTCCAGTTGTCGATCGACCCCCCATCCACCACCCCCGACGACTGCCCGCTGTTCTCGTGCCACTGCGGCAAAGCATGCACAACTGAAGAATCTTCCTTTCCCCCCTGAACGGCGCGATTGTATGCATGCACACAGCCACGGAGACCTTGACGGAGTAAGCCACTGGAAGCACATCGTCCACGCTCCTGGCGATGACACCGCCACAGTTTCTGAGTCGCCGGAAGCGGCGGCTTCGGCGGCGGCGGCGGCGGCGGCGGCGGCGGCGGAGGTTAACCGACTGAAGAAAGTGAGGACGGCTACGGCGGTGGTTGGTGGTCGCGGTGGCGGTGGCGGTAGCTACGGCTTGGGTGAGGTCTCGTACGGTGCCAGGAGCGAGGTTCTGTACAACTCCGACCCGTATGTTCTGGGAGCCAGCATCACCGCCGAGTGAGTCTCGAGTCCCCGTTGACCCTGTTGAAGGTTTGTTTGCGTGCATGCATGTGTTGTACATCGCTTCTGTTTCGTTCTTTCGGCATTCCTCCTGTCCTCTGTCCATCCTGCCGGGAGATCTTGCTCGCATTCTTCCACATTGTGTTTCGTCTCTCGAATTTGAAACGGTTCGAAGAGCATGTGCGTGTGCTTGCTCGATTTTCCATAGGCGTCTGTTCGTCCTGTGTGTGTGGTAGTTCGCTTTTGCCCGACACTTGCTGGGTTTACATACATGTGTCGTTTTCGTACGACCCCCATGGAGCCCGTTTGTGCCGGCTTTTGTCTTTCTTTCTCTCGTCTTTCGTTGCGTCGTCTGTCTGCGGTTCGTGGTCGTCTTTTCTGTTTTATCTTGTGGAATATTTGAATATCCTACTTGCTGTGTTCACATTACTGTATCACATGGTTTTTGATTATTTACGACTGTTGTTGCGTTCTCGTCATTTTCAGCATCGGTGACGCCGACTTCACCGAGGTACAGGGAGCTTTCCGCCAGGGTAAATGGAAATTCATGTTCAAGTCGTGGTGTTCCGGCTACTACGCCTTCGACAACAACACCTTACTCGCGGTGCGTGGACGTTCTTGCTGCGTACGAGCCAGCGACACAACCATCTACGTTTCCGTTCCAGAAGCTATAAGACCGAAATCGGGTGATTGGATGGATGGATGGGTTCGGTTGTTTCTTTCCCTCTGCCTCTGAGGATTTTGTGTTTTGGCTCTTGTCCGCGTCGTGGTCTTCACTGGGTGGGCTGGAATGTTTACGTGTTAAAGGGCACGCACAACTGTCCTGCGCCTTCGACCGTTGAACTTGATCAGTGTACATTCAACAGTGTGTCGATTGGTGTATCCTTTTTACCCGCCCGCCCCCTTCCTCCGTTGCGTTCCATGTTGTTTGGTCTACTTTGTGCGCAATATCTCTTCTCTACAGTATTAGCAATGCGCTGGGCTGACCAAAGAAACAAGAAAACAAGACCACAAGCTCCTCCCTGTCGATCCATACGACTCTTTCGAACACGACAATCATAGTAGCAATTAACAACAGACACAGCACCATCACTCACATACAAGATTAACGGCAACGACCCCCACCGTTGTGATGGATACTAGGACGACCTGACGGACGAGGACAACACCTGCCAGGAGCTAGGGGAGTGCTCACAGTGCGGGGCCAACTGCGAGAACCTGGGAATCGACTACACGGACTGGCTCTTCGACCTCGAGGATGACCCCAGGGAATTGAACAACCTCGCCAACGAACACCCGGAGGTGCCGTACTATATTTGTTGACAGGGTTAAACCCTAGCCTCCCCACCCCTCTCGTATTTCTAGTAATAAGCGTACATCTCGACATCGATGAGGGTTCTGAAGTGGTGTGTGACCCCTTTTCCCCGGATTTCAGTGAGATCCTTCAACGGCATCGGTTTTTGACGCTCGTGCTCCTCTCGTCGTGCGGATACTAGTTGGTAGCAAACCTCAGAGGGCGAGGGAGGGGGGAGTGAACTCCGTCAAAGTTGACATAAAATAAAATCCACGTAGCACAACTAAGACGATTGAAAGACGGAAGAGTACAACACATCCACAAAAGGGCGGGAGAGGGGGTGGGTAGGTTGGTATTGCTTGGGGAGGCGGTATATGTGCTGCCAGCATCTACAGCGCGCATGCCCATGTATGTCGCACATACTTTGTCCCTCCTTGAGCATGGCACCCTCGCGAGAGGAACCCACCTCGTATCACCTCTGCCTCTGAACAGACGGCACGCGGCGTACAACTTTCGCAGGTGGTAGAAAGCTTGCGCAGGCGCGTCTTGGAGGTGGTGTTTCAGGAGTTCTCCAACTCTTCGTATGAGAGCGTCAACTACGGGGCTTACTACATCTGGAGGAAGGTGTGACGGGTTGTCGGGGGAGGAAATTTAGGGGAGGGGGTGATGGGGGTGTTGTATTCCTGGTTTATGTAGGCAGTCTGATGTACACGAGATGACGGCCGGACGGTTTTTCTGCGGTTTTCAGATGAAGCACACGCTCAACCTTGGAGCTCTTTGCCCCCCCCCCCCCC